AGTGACAAGAAATAACGGTCACAAGCTGGCAGAGAGTAGATTCAGGCTAGATATCAGGAGGCACTACTTCACTGTCAGGGCGGCTAGGATCTGGAAACAATTTCCAAGAGAAGTGGTGCAGGCTCCTACCCTGGGGGTCTTTAAGAGGAGGCTGGATGAACATCTTGCCAGGATCGTATGACCCTAGTACTCTTTCCTGCTGTGGCAGGGGGTTGGACTTGATGTTCTGCTCAGGTCCCTTCCAACCCTACCAACTATGAAACTAGGGTACAGGGTTTAACTCATGGCACACCTGAGGCAGAAGATTGGTCCCAGTGGTTTAGGTGGTGTTCATAGGTTGAAATCCAGTACCCAGCACAACCTGTGCCTAGGCAGTGGATGATGTTGCACTGTAATCCCAGTTACTGTTCCTATAGGCAAATAAGAAAGTCATAGTTCCTGTCAGCTGAAGTGTTCTCATCCACTTTATGGTCATTTTGTGGATGATGCTCAGTCTATCCTGTCATAACACTCTGTGACAACCAAACGATGCTGTCCTCTGGTCTTTGGGCATGAACAGGCATTTGTGGTATCTGTCTTAAGTTTAAGTGGCTTAATTTAAATGGAAGTGGCATATGCAGGTGTTTGCCATTGCCAGGAGTGGTGCAGGCAGCCCAAGGTAAGTACTTCTGGGTGGGGGGAAGAACTGGGAGGATTGGGGGAGCTTGTGGGTCCATGGGTGGAAAGGGCAGCAGGTTGGGGGCTGGTGGGTCCAGGTGAGTGTTGGTAGATCCACCTGGTGGGAGAGGATAGTTGTGGGGCTAAAAACAGCTCAGTCAAGATCTGGTTCAGGAGGTAGAAATAACACAGCCCTCGGGGTGGGAATAACACAGCCCCTGTGTTGAGCGGCTGGGCTTTCATGTATGGGCATTCACTAGACTGGGTTTAACCCCAGGACAATCTAAAGTTAGTTCACCTCTGAGGTTCATGGCTTGGCACTGCAAGAGAACTTCACATGGAAGGAGTATAATCTATTCCTTTAGTTCGTTTAAATATATAATATTTTTCTTCTGTAGGAAAGAGTTGAAAAAAAGAGGGTGGCTGTTATAATATGTCAGATTCCAGATTCAGGAGATGACCAGTAAAGTGAATTTAATTAGCCCACGTCCTCCTACTCAAAGATATTCACAACGAAAATACTTTGCAAAAAAAGCATAATACAACTAGGTGATACTGACAACAGTTAGGATGAAAAAAACCAACTGAATTTTCATTGTAAACATTTGTGGCAGAAAGCAGAAAAGGCATGCATATAAGCTATGCTTACTTGGTTAAAAAAGTGATATAATAATAAAGAGAGAAACTACACACATTTATAAGTTTATATTAAAAAAGAATGCCGTATGTAAGAGCCTAACTCTTAAAGACAAGTTCTCAAAGTTTGCCCAGCTGATCTGAATTGCCGTAAATTATGCAAAAAGACTTAAATGTTTTCCTTTGTTTTTCTCCAGGAAATCGATGTTACGAAAACAAAGCTTGGCAGAGAAGAAGTTTATAGAGTCAATTTTTTTTCAAAATACCACTGAGAGATTGCAGGAAGCCAAGGCAAGAGTGGAAGCTGCAAAGGAGCAACAAAGCAAGATGTGCAGGGTGCCATTTAATCTCAGTGTTTGCTGTGTGGATTATATAGTAAATGCCAATGTTTAAGATAATAGTTTGCAATGCTGTAAGTGAATAGAAACTAAACTACAAATATCTAGTTGAATGCTAAATATAAAAATCTATTCTCAGATACTAAATTCCCATTTGTGGGGAAAAACCCACAAAAAAGAAAGATAGTAACTCCATTACATGCATTTACTTATAAGAAAATGGTAATGTTGGATTTCCTTTCGTTACACAAATTGCCAATTGCTCAAATCACAAGCAAGACCTTATAAAGCGAGATAAGGCAAAATACTGCGTTTATTGATTACATGAATTAGACAGAGGTTTGAACACACTACTCATATAGATGCACACAAATAATCATGCACAAAACTTACACACAGGCACACACAAACACAAAACAACCATTCAGACATTATAGTTACCAGCAGCAGTTGTTCAATAACAGCACTGGGTGGCCAGCCCCAGCCTTATTGAGAGAAGGTGCAGGTAGGGCGGTTATTATGAGAGGGAGAGATCCTGTAGATAACAGCTTGGAGCAGGGTGAAACAGACATGTCTGTGCTCTGACAAAACAGCAGTTGAGAGAGAGACTCACCCAGCATTTTTGAAGTCGTCTTTTATAGGGATTTGGTATCCTTTGTCTCAGTGCTTTGGGGTTTTTCCATACCCAGCTTCTGTTTTTGCGGTTGTTCTTTAGTCTTCAGCTTCTCAGCCTTGGAGTGTTCTTGCTGCCTGTCTGGCAGGATGGGTGCATTCCTTCTTGTTATCTTCCTTGTGCCATAGGCTTGAAAGGGATTCTTCAGCCATTTATCAGTCAGTAAACTAATTAATAAATTACATTTGGTGCAGCGTTGCTTCTGTAAACAGTTAAATCTTCTCCCATCTCTATGCCAGTCTCTCACCATTCACCCTTTTACACACACTCATACACAAAGGCTATGCAGAGTTCATTCACTTATGTCAAACAGAAGGATACAAAATGGAGTTTTCAAGTTGCCTACAGGACACGACTAACATGGTTACATTTCCCTATTATTACACTCTATGTTAACATCAGCTACATTAGTTCAGTTCCTGCTACGCTTTCAATATTGGTTTGATTTAAAAATAAGAAAATTACTATCTGATACCACACTGCATTTGAGATCTCAATATTTCCTTTATGTAGAAAAATAAATCCCTGTGGCATTATTTTGCGTGGTGTGGTATTTTTAAACAAATGTTTACTTTTAAATGTTGAACACTCAACTGTCATGTACAAATACCTGTATTTATTCTTAAAACTAAATGATTCAGTGCCACATAATAATTTGGAAAAAATTATGGCTTGCTAATGTAGCCAAGTAGCAGAAGTGCAATTAAAATTGACTAATGTTGTTGCAGGTAGGAATCCTGAAGCTTTGCTTCAATAACTATATACATACAGCAATACTATAGGCCATTAGCTCTCTATAGAATGTGCTTTTTCTGTCTCTCTGACAACCCTGATAGAGTAATTTCGTCCTAGCTGCTAACTTTCATTAACATGCTGTATACTTTGATTTCACTAGCTGTTTCAAACATGTAAGTAATTATGTTTCTAGTTTATTCTTTTTGTATTCTTTGTGTACATATACTTCTGTGTGTATTTATTTATGTGCAAGTGTGTGCATGTGCAACCATGTGTGTCTCTGCACACATGTATGTGCACAGCCACATACACCTGGATATGTGTCTGTATTTTTATAACTGCCTTTTTAGTCTAATGTAAATGTTTGGTTGAAAAATTAACTAATGCTACCTAGCAAGACTGATTTTAGAAAATAATTCTCTCCAAGAACAAATTGTTAATTAGCCATACATGTTTTTGAGTCATTCCTTAGAAATGGTAAGGGGGTGTCTTACAAATGTTTCCGTTGCATCGTATGAATACCATGCAGAAGACCTCACTACTACAAGGCAGATTTTCAAGTAATCTTCGAAATACTGCAGTCATTTCCTGAAGCTAATTAAAAATGTCCCTAAACAGATTTTTTTTTCTAAAAATCAACCATGCTGGGTGACATCAGTTAATTTATCAGCAGAACATATACATTAGCCTAAAAAGACAGTTATAAACCAGAGATAAAAAACCCCAATATTTAATCATTCTATAAGCATCTTAACTATGCCTGAAACAAGTTCTAGCTTGCCAGTTAAAGGCAATATCTGAAATTTAGTGCAGGAAAAAACCAAAAACTAGTGAAATATCTAATCTAAGACAAATGGTCTTTTTAGCAGGGGTACAGAGTCCGTAATTACAGTATTAATAAATTAGAAAAAATAACATTCCATTACATCTGCTGTTCAACTTTCTACAATAATTCTAGATATTTATTTAATATTTAAATAGCCTGTCTCTAGTAGTGTTTTCATTGTTTGATGTGGTCTAGCAGTTCTCTGACATCTTTCATCATTCATCTAGATTATTTTTTTAAGCATACAATACTTGTAATTTCTGTCATCTTATCTGCTGAGTTTGTGCACCCATGTGTTAAGTTAAACTGCTAATAAGTCCCATAAGGAGAAGATGTGTTAAATTACAAGTATATTAATACCTTGTTATAAAAAAATGGAAGTGTCTAACTGAAGGTTAAAAATACTCTTAAATAATAATTTTGCTATAAAACAAGTATGAATGCCTTCTAGTTTTCTTTAAATATATACATCAACTGACTAGCTGACTGACTTTGTTATATGTTACAAGTGATACTTTATAGCAGTAAAATCTGTGCAAATAGACCAGAAGGCCAGGACAGTTGCAGAGTTTGTCATGTCTTGGGGAGTAAGACGTAGGCCTGTGAGAGTCGGCAGAGATCTGATCCAGCTTCAGATCTGGCCAGTTTGGATGGCAGTGATCTGATCCGGAGTTCTGGACCGGGTTTCCGCCTCAATCCGGCCAAAGCTTCGGAGCCACCTCGGAGGTCCAGCCATAGGGTACAATGGGGGAAATCAATGAAATATCTATAACTTTGTTGTTTTTTGTCTGATTTGGATGAAACTTGCAGGGATGGCAGCCTCTGCTGAGCGCATGAAACCTGCCAAGATTCAAGAAGATCGGTACAGGGGTTTGAGGGGAACTGTACCCCAAATTCTTGAAAGCCAAACTCATGTCATGGCTGTATGTTACACCACGGGGGGGGATCAAAACTGCAGGGGTGGTAGCTCTTACTGAGGCCAGAAAGCCTGCCAAGTTTCAAGAAGGTCAGTGCAGGGGCTTGCGAGGGAACTGCACCTCAAGCTGTGGACAAGCAAAACTCATGCCATGGGTGACAGTGTGTGTGTGTGTGTCAAGGCACAGCGGGGTAACGGCTGCAGGGATGGTGGCCCCTGCTGAGGCCACAATGCCTGCCAGCTGTCGAGGAGATCAGTGCAGGGGGATTCTGGGGCCCTGCACCCCTAGCTGCTGACAGACAAAACTCGTGCCATGGGTGCTTGTGGGATTGACTGTGTCCGTCTTGGGGCAGTTGATCGTCTGTATTGATTCTTTCCTCTCTTTACCCTGGTTTTGTAGGTGCTAATTGATGGCAATTAACTGACTACATTAGCTAGGTCCTGTGTATTGAGCTGGTCCCTGAGTGAATCATGACTGATCTGTAACTGGTAACACAGTAGCTTAGCGGCCAGGCCTGCAGTAGCATCTCCCATGCCCCAAGACAGACAGTCAGTCCCACAAGCACCCATGACACGAGTTTTGCCTGTCAGCAGCTAGGGGTGGACCAGGTGCCCCCCACAGACCCAGCAGGCACCAATTGCCAGGGGGGGGCATGCTGGGGGAGAGGAGTGGGAGGATCCCTTGCATGCTCCCTGGTGGACGACCAGAAGTGCTTCCAGGTCCACTGGGGACTCCCCCATGCTCCTGTGGGATGCTCCATCTGCTCCACCATCTCAGCATTCACGAGCCTCCTGGTACCTTGAGGTTTGCAGAAAAAACATTTAAAGCCATGTCTGTCTAGAATCATGAAATATCTCTGAATTGATTTGGAGGGTTCAGATTCGATTCAGAGAGATTAAAGGGTCACCCGATTCAACTCGGATTTGGAGATTTGGCCACCGAATCGAATCAGCTACTGAAGCTTCGCACAGCCCTAATATTCACCTACATTTATATCAAAGGACGAGCCTAATTTTGTTATAGGAGTGCTGGTTTAATTTTAAAATTGTCCTGTTTGCTATTCGTTTTGTTTTCAGCTTTATTTGGACTGGGATTCTTAGACATAAGGTGAACAGTGAGAGCAATAACTTGTTAATTTTAGAGGGTCTTCTACTCAGATGGAAGCATTCTTAGACAATGAGTTAACAATGAAAGACTCTTTTGTCCATGTAGTCTTGTACCCAAACAGTGGATCACTCGATAAGGAACTTGAACCTGCTCAGAATAGCCACCTGACAAAGAGAAGTGAAAACGTATAAAAGAAGAATTCCCTCACCAGATATATTATATAAGAGACCAGAACTAGAAGAGAAGGAAAAGAGAGATGATGGAAAAACACTGACCACATCCCAAAGGCAATGGTGAGGAAGTTGAAAAGGGATGCATGGGCAGATTCTATTGTTTTTTTTTTTCCATGGTTCTGTATATCTCCATTGTTATTTAAGAATAAAGTGTGCACCTATTTAGAGATTTCTTTGCAAATTGAGTTACTTGCTTGCACTGTCACATATAGGGGCATTCAGAGAGGGAAACCAGGGGCTCTGCAATATCACTGACATGTTGAAAACACAGGGAGACTCTAGAGAAATTGCATTAATTTTGAAGCCTTGGAAATTGGCCATGCTCAGTTCCCACTGCTTAGATGGTCATATCTAGAGCCTATGCATGGAGTATATGCCTTAGGGAGAGAACCAAAACATGTTCACACCCCACAGGACTTGGTGCTGAACATGGCATGCTGGCTTTCAAGATACACGTGCTCCAGATTCATTTGATCATATATAGACAACAATGGGGAATGGAAAAAGAGGTCCAGAAAGTCAGGTTCCTACCTGAACTCTTTCTAGTACCACATTTTCAGTTTGTTCTAATTCTCTGCCATGCAATACAGCAGTGTATTGCACCTAACAGCTGTGAATGCCACTGGAGTACATGCAGCTAATTCCCAGTTGATCCTGTCAGCTCCAAGGAAGCAGGCAATTGCTTCCAGGGAATGCCTTCATTCTGCATTTCCTGGTTTCCAGAGGTTTATATTTTGTTTAATTGAGCATTCTAGAATGGCAGCAATTAATACCCAGCTACTTCATTTTGTGACAATGAAGGTTTTTTTCTAGGCTTTTCTTTTGTTTGTCAATGAGGAAATATAGGTTTAATCAGAAGCACATTGTCAGGATTTTGAGCCCTGATATTTCGATGTTTTACACTTAACTCTATAGAGATTGTAGGCAGCATGAGCACTCTGGTAGCCTGACTCAGGCTATTGTAACAGGGCTGTTGGAACCGAGAATGCCCCAAAGGTGGCTTAAAGCTTTGTGGAAGCATAGTATAAATTCTTACCTTATTTCCAAAGTCCCATTAATAATATCTCCTGTAATTGGCCATTGTGGGATGCTGATCTTCTAAAGCCATACAGAATGCTCACAATAACTTCTTGAAAAGTTAGCAGTAAAATCTGTGGATTTCATTCGCTTGGTTGTTTGTTTACCAAAATTGTTTTTACTGTCTATCGCATACCAGAGTAGTTTAGTATTTGGGACTCTGTGATTAGCACTGGTCTTCTGGCTGTGATACAGTATCAGGTATTGCAACCTTGAAGGGTGAGGAAGGACTGTTCTATTGATTCATGCTGGCAGCCAGTCCAGATGGATCTCATTAGCTCCAATCTAAAGTATAAAAGAGTTTGCATGTTCTTCTATGGGGAACGATAGATTAGGCAGTGAAACAAGTCTTATAGGGAAAACTCTTTAGAAAAACCAACTCAGGAGGAGAGGTTC